CGGCTTCACCCCAGTCAAGGGTTCGTGAAGATCTTTCTGGTACAGATAGTCTTCAATCTGCATCTTCCAGAAACCGAAATCAGATCCATCAAACTTCTCGATTCCAACCTTTGAACTTCTCCATCTTCAATGATCGTGTTGATTCTCCTGAGCTCTGATACCAGTTGTTAGGATCAAATCAAGAACACTCACAGAAATCCGATGAAGAAGGTGAAGAAAAAACGAGAGAGTAAAAGTAGAGAGAAAGTGAAACACGTGAAATAACGTGGTAACACCCCGTGAGTAAACTTCCACGGCGGCTAGATGTGTTTATTGATGATTTCAGGCAGATACAATTACAGAGAATTTGACTCTTGCCTCTCTCTAAAAAATTAGCTACAAAGGAGAATATATATAGGCATTACAACCTCTACTTACTTAACCATTAAGAAAACTTAGTCATTAAGCAAACTTAGCCATTAAGTAAACTTAACCATTAAGAAAGCTTAGCCATTAAGTAAACTTAGCCATTAAGTAAACTTAACCATTAAGCAAACTTAATCATTAAGCATCAGGCTCCATAACCTAACACCCTCTGGCCTCTACTAAGTCGCATGGTGATGGGAACAGTACAAGTTCGTAGAAACAGAAATCCTCAAATAAATCAAGATATGGGGACAACAAGGGCACATCAATTTGAAATTTTGGGGAAAAAATTCAGTCTTAGATAATGATATCTTCATTAACAATTTTTATTAACATAGTGGTTTATTTTTCAAAAAGTTATCATAGGAAGTTGTTAATGGATATTCTGGGACAAGGAAATTATTGGGGCCGGGGAGCCCTGGAGGTGGTTGGAGTGATAAATTAGACCTTTCTATCTTTCTCTTTGATAAAAGGGAATAACAAATATTTTCTTTAATATGGGGGAAGGGGATGACATATTAACATGTGGACATATCGCGAAGTTTTTGAGCGTCCAGGTTTTAGAATCATGAGAAATAGAACATGACTTACGTTCCATGCAACATATGTTTCCTGCATTCCTAGTCAATTTGTGTCCACCATGAGATGTCTTTTTATCTCTTGTTTGTCTCAAGTAAGAAGTGGGAATTCTGTTTTTTTCCATGGGATGGAGGAAGTGTTAGTATTCTTTTAAAAAATATTTTTATATTGTATCACTTTCTGTTTTAAAAGTGTTACTGTTGTGTCACAAAGTATTAGTACATTTTATAAAAGTTTCCAGTGCTTTATGTTGCACCATTTGGTACTGCACAGATTGCTTAATACTTATTTATTTTGATTAGGTTTTAGAGTTTGTTCGAGATGGAAATAGAAGTGTGGCAGATTTGATGGACCTTGGAAGACAATTGCTTGGCAGGTTATTGCATGCAATGTTCTCAGTTTGTCTTTTAGAACTCATTTCGTAATAGTTATTTGGCCGAATTTACTTAAACTGCTGAATTTTCTGAAAGGAAAAGTGTTGGGTAATTTTTTTTCCAGCCAAATAAGTCGAATGCTACTTGTTTTGCAAATTCTCATTATTCTGTTTGGAGTTGAAAATAAGAGTATAACAAGCTGAAAAGAGTACGGCCCTTATGTAGGTTCAAAATTTTTTCTTGTATTGTTTTATTTTGTTCTTTCATTAGGGGGGGGGGGATTAGGGGAAGGAGGAGGAGGTAATACTTCTATAAATATGTTGGGTTATTCGGTGAAGGCTTTAGAGCTGTGGGCTTTAAGCCTGGTCGGCTAAAGGGAAGAAACATGGGGGGCCGGTTTTAGTTATTAATTAAAGGGCCCATTAGTTGTTTCTTGTTTAGCAAGTTGTTAACCCTAGTTTATATCTTATAAATACCCAATCATGTAACTATAATCTGTGAGCACCTAATAAAAGATAAACCCTAGTTGCAACCCGTGGAGTAGGTTACTGACCGAACCACGTTAAATCTCGTGTTCTTATTTCTGCTATTTGTGTGTGTGTGTGTGTTTGTTCGCTTCCGCTTGACCACCTCTGATCTCTGATTCCTAACAA